CATTCCTTTAGCTAAGTTCATCCATTTCAATACAACAAAAGGCTTAGCAAGGCTTCCAGCTTTTCTTAGTTTGTTTTGATTAGCTATTCTGTTCATTTACAGTAGGGGGTTCCCAAACGATATGCTGTGATCGCTGCGGGCGCATGTAACATTGTAATGGAAATGTCTAGGACCTCCTTGGCCCTCCATTCAAGCCCTTGTAAAAGAGTACAACAGTACATTGTTGCCACATGCCTCCTGATCTGCACTCCCCCTTGTTAGCTGGCACGGCTCACTGAGGTTTAATGAGGTTATGTTAAAGATGGGTGTTGTGTCTGGGAAGATCTTTCTCTTCGCTCCCTGACTCACCATCCACAGCACTGCCTGCTTGTGTTCCATCTACAAGATGTAAAAGAAAGAGGCGGCCCAAAAACAAATCACTCCCAAACAGTTAGAAAACCACTCTGAGCTAAATATACAAGCTTTCATTCAGTCTTCTTTGAAGACAGATCTTTGTGGATATTTTAGAAAGTCATTATGTAATGTACAAGCACAAAATACAGATTAATTACAGCTACATATATACATGTAGAAAATGCTTTTATCCAGCGTGACTTACAAAAGAAGAACAAAAGCCATTTTCAAAAAGTCACCAATATTTTCAATATACAATGCCATGTTTATTATACAACTACACTGTAAAAAGTTGTAAATAAAACAACTTAAAAACAAGTATTTTTACAAGAAAATACTATTTCAGTCTTTTAAGGAATAGTTCACCAAAAATGTCAAATTTGCTGACATTTTCTTGATTTGTCAATTATTGTGATGTTTTTATCAGCTGTTTGAACACTCATTCTGACGGCACCCATTCACTGCAGAGGATCCATTGGTGAGCAAGTGATGTAATGCTAAAGTTTTCCAAATCTGTTCCAATGAAGAAACAAGCTCATCTTCATCTTGTATGGCCTGAGTAAATTTTCCGCAAATCTTAATTTTTGAGTGAGCTATTCCTTTAATGTGTTACTTGCAGTTTCTTTGTAATTATTTTTTTTTATTTACTAGCAATCTTAGCAGATCTTTCTCTTCGCTCCCTGACTCACCATCCACAGCACTGCCTGCTTGTGTTCCATCTACAAGATGTAAAAGAAAGAGGCGGCCCAAAAACAAATCTTTAGCATTACATCACTTGCTCACCAATGGATCCTTTTTTTTTTCAGTGTAGATTGGAAAGCAAGCTAGAGAAGAGGAGAGATGCAGAGAAGAAAAAGGTGTGTGTGTGTGTGTGTGTGTGTGTACTGATTTTATACCCATAAACCATACATCATTGGTAATGCATGCAGGCCTTATAAATTTTGCTGCTGTAAAATGAAATCTGATCTTGTTCATCAAAATGCGTGCGCATGAAGACAATGCTACCTGGATTAAGATGAAAGTTGTCTCACTAAGTACTGCTATATTTATGAAGGGCTCGTCAGTTGTCTCACTAAGTACTGCTATGTTTATGAAGGGCTCGTCTCCATGGTGACAGCGAGCGGGTGCAAGAGTCAAACTGACTTTTTACAGCCTGCACCTCATTTTTTTCTTGTCTGACATCAAGTAAACAACCCTATTGATTTGCCTTTCAGGTTTACCAAAAGCAAGCACACCATAACATCAGACCATGAAAGTCTTCACAACATGCCACATTACAATTAGATAAACATGTTTGAATTGATCCATACAGTCTAGCAAATTCTTAATATTGGCATTTGTTTTTGAAACGGTACTGTATCAAAACATTCCAGAAGAGTGAAATATGAGCTGTTAATGATACTAACTGGCGTTCAAATGAAAGCGTGTTGACAAGACGCAATGATATGAAATCACTCCAGGCCTTTCAAGGGTAAGATGGCATGCTCAAGGCTAGTCGCCCCAATACCTGTATAGCAGCATTACAGAGACAGAGAACTAGCATTATTTGAGCGACTCTCTGCAATTAAAAGAGCCAGCCTTTCACTCAAGGACTGCTCGATTGCAAGATTACTAGAGCCGAGTTATGTGATTTATGATCTGGCTGGAGTCTGTGTTTAACAGAACTTAAGATGCGATGACATGGCCTGTAGGTAATACTTGTTATGTCCTAGGAACGCAAGCTGTAACCTTTCTTTCATATTTCAGACTGCCCTGAAGATATATGCATTATAGTTAACAATTCTGCCTAAAACATTACGTATATTCAAATATCAGTTTATAATGAGAATGATTGTTTTACATACATATTTGTAAAATCTTTTGCATTACTTGTTTTCTTTGAAACTTATAAAACACATGACATATCCTATAATTTTCAGCTGTGATAGTCCAAGAGATTCATAGAAAAACATATTCTGACATGCTCAACCATAAAAGGTGTTTTGAATAAACTGTTAAAGCTGCGTTTAAAGTCACATCGGTGTCTGACAAACACTGTAATCATGCATCAACTGTTTGTGCTATAACGGAGTTGTTTTGCTCAAAGGTCCACCAATGCCAATTACGCAAGCAGTACAGGAGGGCTAGAGAGAAGTCTCAACCTACAACCACATAAACAAGAAGTGAAAATACAGTGATTTACAGAGATTTCGAAAGGGCTGCCTGAACGAAAATTTGATTTGTAACTGCTATTTTGGTTTCACCTAAATGTGGAACTTGCTTAGTAACTAAGGTTGTTGTCCATGTCATTCCATCCTAAGAAATCTGACCACTTCAAAGGATTCGGACATTCTAAAGATAATTGAAGAATTTCCACTGCTTTATTATATGGAATGGAATGCTAAACTCTTTATGCCACTGGACAATAAAAATAATCCTATTATATGTATAAAAAAATAAAAATAAAGACAATGCTGTTATTATGATTCTGTTTAATAAACAAATACAACTTAATCATAAAAATGTCATCTAACAATGCATATAATATGATGCTATTTTTAGTATGACTACACTAAAGATAGCAATTGTCATAACAGTGTTTCTCTGCCCCCCTCTGGTCAATTAAAGAGAATGCATAGAATTGAAAGCATCTAAAAATAGCAAATAGCATCCAGCAAATAGGTTTCTATGGGGGAAAACATTTACATTTAATTTAGTATTATATTAAATTATATTGAGAGACTATCTGAACTCAAGGGGTTACTCTGATGGTACATACTGTTTAAAAGTTTAGGGTCAGTACGACTTAAAATGTTTTTAAAGAAGTTTCCTATCCTCTCCAAGGCTGCATTCATTTGTTTAAAAATGCAGTAAAAACAGTAACACCGTGAAATGTTTTTACTATTTTAAATAACTGTTGTCAATTTTACTATATTTCAACTTTTCTTATTGTCAGTTGAAAACAGTTTTAATGCTTTATGTATTTTTGTGATTTTTTTCAAGATTCTTAGATGAATAGAAAGGTCAGAAGAAGAACAGCAGTTATTTTAAACAGAATTTTTTGTATCAATGTAAGTCTTTACTGTCACTTTTGATCAATTTAATGCATCCTCACTGAATAAAAGTATTAACTTTTTTCAAAAAGACACACACAAAAAAGGATGACAAACTTCTGAATGGTAGTGTATATAACATTTGCTTTACAGTATCATTACATTATTTAATAAACACAAAAGCACACTTTCCACTCGACAGAATTTTCACCTCTATGCAAGAACTGTCAGAAAGGACTCATCATAATTCATCAGTTAAAGTAGTATACAATTTTGGAAGATGTAGGAAAGATGAGGTGATTTGAAATAGATTACAATTTGGGCACACAGGACTAAATGCATCACTATACAAAATAGGTCAACTGTAACATATTACAGGTAAATGTGCTTTTTGTGGGGTAATAGAAACCGTTGAACATGTAATATTAAAATGTCTGAAATATAATATAGAGAGAATTAAAATGATAAAGAACTTAAATGGTAATAATAAAGAAAAAAATATAATGCATATTAGGAAAAGGATTAAGAGAAGGTAGTAATCAAAGAATAGTAATGGAATATATAGTAGAAACAGGATTAAATAAACGAATTTGATAGTTAAATAAATAAATAAAGCAAAGGAATAGGGGAACACACAAGCTGGGTTTTTTTCCATGGGAGCTGAACACGCAGCAGCCAGAAATACAGATTGGGTGAGCCTGAAATAAAATTAACAATTAAAAAATAAATAAATAAATAAATAAAATATGAATAGAGGCGGGACTATCATCCATGTATGATTAGAAACAGTTGGTGGCGGTATGTGCCTATGGTGTGGAATACGCCAAAAAATTCCAAAGAAGAAGAAGCAGACTCCCCAACAGCACACCACTGCAAAACATCACATACATGTGGGTGCCAGCGCATCTGGGCATCAAGGGAAATGAGAAAGTAGACAGACTGGCAAAAGAAGCAACAAAAAAAGAACATGTTGACGTCAAAATTAAATTATCAAAAACAGAAGGGAAGAGTTTAGTGTGGAAAAAGATCATGCAAAAATGGCAGCAGCAGTGGGATAATGATATCAAAGGGAGACATCTGTACATGATACGAAATATGATAGGTATGGAAAGTAAGAAGGGAAATAAAAGGAAGGAACAAGTCATAATAAATAGACAGAGGATTGGGCATTGCAAGCTAAACAAAACTCTTCATTTGATAGGAAAACACCCGACAGGACTATGTGATGAATGTCAGGAGGAGGAGTCAATTAAGCACATCTTTATATCATGTAAGAAATATATACAAGAAAGGCAAGAGTTCAAGAATCAGCTACGGGAAATAGGTATAGTAGAGTATAATGTTAAAAATATAGTAACATATGTTTGATGAGATATTTGTTTAATTTTCTAAGGAGGACTGGACTGGAAAGACGAATTTAATTAAGATATAGTAAGTTAAAGTGAGACAGCAGATGGCAGTAATGCAACACTATGGATGCCAACTGCCGTAAAACGCCAATGAAGAAGAAGAAGAACACCACTGCCAGCATAGACATATGACTGCCAGCACCGACACAGCAGCACTAGGGGGTGATTGCATGAGTTTACGTGACAGCTTCCTGTGACCGCCCGTCTCTCTCTGGCACCCCCAAACGCAGGCGGTGATTGGGCAGTGCAAATGTCTCAACTCCCCTCGTCCACCGAGCACCGGTTGAGCACATTCTGTCACTTGCGCTAGCGTTAAATGGAGGAACGTCCCTGCGAAGGGGCAACCGGAGTATATATCAGTCATGGAGCAGAGAACGGCCCTGATCGATCGAACATATCGGTAAACAATGATCAGAACCACAGTAAGTTCCAGAACGAGCAAAC